TTCTTGTCCTTCCCCTTACCGTTTCCCATCATCCTTTACCGCCTAATGACTTTATTTGGTTGGTTTATCTTGTTTTAAAGGAAGTGTATTACTTTAATAAATTCAGAAAATATTAAAACTTTTTGTAGTATCCAATATATTGCTCCTTCATTGCCTTCGTACTCTCTGCCGTATGTCTCTCCTCCGATATGTTGTCTACTTGAGTCCGTTTTAATGGTATTGATATTTTGAGTTTTAGATTTCTTTTAATGTTTTCTCCACTTTTCTTGGATTTATTGATTGATCTCTCCTTGACTGACTTTTTATGGCTGCTTTTAGTCATTTTCAGTCTAGGCTTTTGAGAAATATTCGCAATCGGTACACTTTGTGTTGTAATTGCTCTCTCTAGAGACGGCATTGCAGCTCTCAATTTATCATTACATGCTGAAATTGTTTTTTGGAGCTGCTGGCTTGCTAATATCTGGTCTGTATACATAATAAAAAAGTCGAAATAAAATTTGCATATTTGAAAAAAGCCAGTAAAACATATAAATGACATAATTTCCGAATCTTAAAGCCACCACCTGAAAACGCGATAAAGCGATTTGAACTGCTCCGAAAAGATATTTTCCTGAGGGGGAAGCGCAGTGATTCCGGAATTCATAAATCCAGTTATATCAAATAGCAAGTGTACCTGACCGATAGGTTACTAGTCGTAACCTGCTATAAACTTTAGGATTTCCGACAAGTGACGGCTGGATCAGAAGTGATATTTTAGTTTCTGGAGATAATTATGCCAAAAGAATGATTACCGAATGGTGACCTTGATATGCCATGTTGTACTCCACCGGACAAAATATTGCTAAATTTTTGATCAAGTTCCTTTCCATTCTTTGTTATTTTTGGTAATGAAGTCGAAATGGTCCTCTTGTAGATAGTGTTCTGAATTGATAATCTGTATCGAAAGTTTAAAATTTACGTAACATAATAAAACCATATGGTTGAAGATCTTAAAACAACATCAGTTCATTGTTTGGTCGTCATCTTAACATCTTTCTATATGGACATCCAGAAACAAGCAAGCTCTTTAGAAGCTTTTAGTCTTTTCTATTAGCAAGTTAAACTGAACGGAATTAGGAATTCTGTGCGAAGTTATGGCTGACGTATGATGATGTTACTGGTGGCAATAAGAGGCTAATATATTACAAATTACGAAATCCGAAATACTTCTCCGAGGGAATCTTTATCGGCGACAAGTATTGGTAATTCTTTCTTTGATGTTTCGCGTTTTTCTTTCTCGTACATCAGTTGTAGAACGCAGCGTATCAGCTCCATTGCCAAGATTACCATGATAATGTACATTATCACCGCGTAGAACTATAAATGATCTAACAAAATGTAAATTATTTTTAATCAGGCGGCTGATCCATATATCACAGCTTTATATCGTCATAGACTAGAAGAGGATAATCTTCTAATCTAGTGGAAGAAAGCTCTGATTGATGAAGAATGGAAGACGGTCCAGATTAGAAAGAGGATTCAAACTCTTGAAATCACTTCTTGTATCCATTCCATGCTATTGAAATTCAAACATACCATTGCCTGTTCTTTGCCATAAAACATTACATAAGAGAACGTTTTATACATTTTCAACCGCTTCAAAGTACACAAATTTACAATATTAAACGGAAATGTCTGAAATGTTCGATGCGATATGCAATTCCTCTTTGCGAATGTTAAATGATTCTAGTCGTCCACTTCTCTGTCCATTCTGAACCTTGACTTCCATGAAACCAATTGTTTTTCTAGTTAATTAATTGTTTCAATTCCTCGTCTTTCTACTAAGTCGTTCTATCACTTATCAGAGGAAAGAAATGCAGAACATTCATTCCAGCTTTTCGGGAAGGCACCATTGCTGGCTTGTCATGTCGTGGTTAAACGTAGCACTATTAAAAGCGAAGTTTTCATAAACTAAATGGGAGCTAAAATCGAAACCCTAAACCTCTGCTTATTTTTTAATTTAACTCGAGTACCACCTCTATTTATCCTTTGAGTTTCCAAAATTCGCAAGTAAACCTGAGCGAATATGATGAATAGATAAATAAAATAGATATGCAAATAATTTTTCCCATCTTATGTTAATAGCAATTTATTCGCTATCCATATTAAATGTGGCTAGATCCTTTAGAAGAAACAATTTGGATATCTACGGTCTTCTCTTTTCCTTTTTCCCACATCTCCGTGTCAAATCTGGCCGTCTTTTTTTTGCACTGAAATCTTTTCAATCGCAGAGTCATTTCCTCATATCCCCAATTATTCTACAAAGTGCTTATATAATTAAGAAATTGCTATTATTTTCTTATTGATATAATCTATCATGCATTTGTTAGGGAAAGTCCGAAGTTTTCTATTGTTGCACTATTTCGAAAAAAAGTATGTAAGAACGAAGTAAAATATAAAATTTTTAACAATAAACTTACAAAAGGAGATTATAGTTTATCAAAACCCTTCCAGTTTCATTTGAGTTTGTTTTCGTTTTGAGAATTTGGGAAGAAATCAAATATAAATAGAGCACATACAGCAAAATACACGACACTATTACTAGCATTAGTTAGATGGAACAGATAAGAACGGCTTGTTAGTACTGCAAGATGGATGGGTCCATATAAACATATGCTCTAGAGTCGATATTCCGACGATAAGAGAGAATATAATGGAAGCTTCGATAGCAGTCATCGCACATATGAGCTGGACTTATCGGGAAACTTTCACTTTCAACTATCCAGCTAAAATAAGTACAGATAACCATTAGGAAGTGGTTGGAAAATGAACAAATGATTAAAATACGAATATTAAAGGATAATAAGGAAATAGGTCCTCAGCAATGTGCGTACATCACTTAATTTTCTTTGCATGTCGCTTTTTTCTTCCTTCGTTTTGCCTTATATAAATTATTAAGCTAGTCAATGATAAGCTGTTACCACCCATCACCATTCTGGATAGATAAAATCAGAGATCTGAAAATAATAGTTTTACTCCGCAATCCGTTTATGGCATGTAATGCAGTAGTTTTCCAGACTTGTGTCGGATAATTTTTGAGGAAAGTCGATTGGATAATCTTGTATATCCATCAATCGTAAATCGGTGAAAAAAAAGACATGCTCGCAGTTACCCTGGTGAACATAAACATAAGGATATCCAAGACGACATACCAAATCTTTAACCTGAAATGATAATTACCAATAATCAAAGAACGTGATGGAAAACTGCGGCTCTTTTGAGCTAAGCGATGATTGGATTTACTTTTTCTTAAATTTATCCCTGCAGTATTCAGCAGGAATATGCGGAAATAATAGGTATTCCAATTGGTAAGTTTTGCTTCCATAGAGTTGAACATTTCTTAAGTACAAACGAAATTTGAACGTTTGAACCGATTATAACACAATAAAGGTTTAAAAGTGATCAACCAAGTTCATGTCAAATTAACCTTGCCTTCACTGAGACTTTTGACTTGTGTTGGACCAAAATCTTTTGGTTTTCTTTTCATCCATTCACGTATAGGCCTAAAAGCAATACATGATGACAATGAAAAGAACATAATAATGCAAAAGTTTAGGAGACTAGAAAAATCTTTTCATAACTGGAAAATTAAATTTCCTGAATTTCTTTTTTGGATAGATTCCAGAAATATTTGCAAGCATCTCTTATAATAAGTATAAGAGCAATAGAAAAGAAGTTATAGAAAACTAGCAAAACTGATAAAAACGAATCACTCTGAAATATCAATGTGAGGTTCAATTTTTGAATTGTCGATTTGTGACAGTGTTTCCTTGGATCCAGCATAGGTTTCCGCTATATAAAATGTATCATGGATAAACAAGAATGACGACGGATATTTGAACTGTAAAATATATTCTACATTGCAAAACAGAAAATCGAGTCTCCAAAAAGAAAAAATTTTATTTTTCTGAAGTCAGAGCAATTTACTTATATTTTAAACGGAAAATTAAAATTTTGTGGAAAGCAACTTTAAAATGAAGTGTGAAGTTAAAAATTCGTGTACCATGTTGAATTCATGCAGCTGTGGCAGTTTGTCTTCGTCCACTGCAGTCCCATAATCTGCGGTACACCGAAATAAACTGTGCAACTCAAGCAAAGATGTTTCACCCCGTAACAAAAATCGCCAGTATGGACGCAACTATAAAAGAATTGGTTCATATTTAATTGATTTCTGCTCAGATGTGGAAGATTTAAGGGTTTCGTTTTCTATGCATAAACTCCCTCTTTCACCGCCCTATTACCACTGTAAGGAAGAGAATTTTCTGCATACCTTCAATATGAAATAAAACTTAACATTGCAAACTTCTCGACGATAATGAATGCAACATTAATCAATACGGTTTTGCTTTTATACGTAGTAAACCAAATCTAAGCTCATCATTGCTAAAACTAGAAAACATACTCAAAACTTTGCGAGCAACTTTTAACAATTTACCGTTGCGTTTCGTTTTTCTAAATACTCCAAAGCTTTGTTGTATGGTTTACAAATAACCACCGTTACTACGATATCATTTACTACTGATTGCTTATATCCATCATTTCGGCAGTGTCTCATTTCCTGAAACTCAGCAATCGTAGTAATTGGAAGAGATACGAATTCGAAAATGCAAAATATTATTAGTCCAGAGAAAATTACTTGTCATGGATAGTGGGTAAGACAATTGCTTCAAGTCCCTCTTTTATTTGTACTCCAATTTATCATGGCGGATAAGCTTACATTTTCATAATAGTCACCATATTTGAGTACAGTACTACCGTAGCACATGCTCTGCTGTATATTCCGTCTCATCTTCAGATCTTGTTCACGCTGCCTAAAATTGAAGGATGCTTCATTCTTATGAAATGTAATTTTTTCTGACGGTCAACTAACTTCTTTCATTTTTCTATACAGTAACACTCTATTTTAAAAAAGTCCTGATTTCTACACCAGAAGTTCAACGTTTCTCAATTACAGATGAACAGAAAATACGAAAAAAAGAAACGGTGAAATTTTACCGGGGATCATCGTAAGGACCCGCTGGTTTCTTCTTGATAGGATTAAACATATCCAACACTTTTTTTTTCAATCTGTAAATTAATTGAAACTTTGAGTACCTTATCTCTACACTAAAGTAATTTAATTATGTAGAGCTGAAGTAATCAAAAAGAGCTAAAGAAGTTGGAGTTTCTAACATTTTCACTTTCTAGTAAAAATGATAATAAAATTTAAAATAGAGGTACATAATGGATAAGTAGGCTCCGAATGACACATAGTCACGTTAACATTACAGTAGTAATAAGAATCATGCAATGAAGCTTTTGATGACACAGGTGATATTAATGACAACCACAATCTGCTACTGTAATCTTCAATTAAATTACATACTTCAAAGTTTCCAGTTTCGTATCGCTAGGTATATCTTCAAGGTCAACTTTCTTCCGAAAGAATATATCTCGTTTATTTAGCAAAGCGAAATGATTGACACTGAAAAAACCCCTTTAGCATTAAAAAATTCTTCAGCAAGATTTAAATTTAATAATACGGTTGAAAAATATCTGTACGATTATTAAAAAAAGAAAAAAAAAAGATGTCGGAAGGTGATGTCGATATTAATGCTTCAACTCTTGATAACATAGAACTAATAATTACATGGCTCTGAATGAAAAAAAATGTGGTGGATGAAGGCTCAATATTACTGTTGAAGATTGCATTGAAAGAAAATTGTCGGTCGAACTGGCCAACACATGTTTTATAGACCAATTTAATAGAGTGAATTATATTAGTAGAAGTGTGTCGACTTCACATCTTAAGATTTTTTGTAATATTATGATATGTACCGTTCAAAATATAAAAATTAAAAATTCATGCTAATTCACCTTAAAAGGAACAAGTGATTTCATATTTCGTTCCAAAAAATTCGTTTCAAAAAAATAGCATATTTTGTTTAAAGTGAATTTGTATAACGTTTCGTGTTTAGAAATGTATAAGTTAAATTGCATTTAATTCAAAAGAAGTCATGAAAAGAGAAATTCACTAATGTATATTTTAAAAAAGTTTAAAACGCAACAGTACAAAAAAGTGAAATTTACTCCAAATTAGAAACCATATCTCTCGCACCATCATCCTGTATACCGAATATCTTTTGTAATTTTGCAGCTGTTGTTTCGTTATCATCTACAACTTCGCATTCAAGCAGTACACGTTTATGAACGTGTGACGGCGCTTCCGGCATATCAACTGGATAACTGAACTCGAATAACGGTTCCAATGCAACAACACTTCGCAGACAATCTCGTTGTTTCCGTGCGACCTAATCTTATTAAAGCTATAATTCAAATGAGACATTTTAACACATATTAACACATTACCACAGATATCTTAATTTCACTATAAATTCCAATCTCTGTTCGGTAAAAAAGATTTTCAACTGGTAAAAAAGTCCTATGTAAGGAAGGTAACACAGGGAATGCAGATAAATTAGAAGAAGAGGTGAGAAGTATAACATGAAGACGATCTTAGCAACATCATGAGCACCACCCAGAAAACTCGGACATCTCGAACTTCTTGGGAACATTCTATTTACTGCTGCCATCGTTAGTCGTAAAAAATTAAACAAGCACCTGTCCGAATGTTTTGAAATTGACAAGAGGTGAAATGAATTCATTCTCCTCTGGTTTAATAATCTTATCCATCGCCATCCTTGCTTTCTTCACTTGCCACGATTGTTATACACTGCAAAAGACATATAATATGTGATCTTTAATTATGTTCGAGAAATTTTGCTTTCGCTTTCGTCATAGTGACAGCAGAAAATGAGTGTTTTTGAACTAAAATTCCCGAATCTGAAACCAGAGAATTCTGAATTATTTAGAATCATGGCTTACTTGTACTGGTCAAATTCTTACTTTAGATCGCAATCTTGACTTTCCTTATCTACCACATCTTTTATATGGCTAAATATGTTATCAGAGGAACTGACCATCTGTAAGTATCCCGACCAATTCTAAGGAACCTCAGTACTTACTGTCAGTAACACAATAATACAACTACCTTATAGGACGAAATAATTTCATACAACGTTTCATCAAAGCTTTCCATGCAAGATTTTTAGCATCCGGGAGATTTAAATCGGGATTGTTCAAGGTAGATTTGGACGTTGACTTGTGACGATGTTTCAAAGACCGTTTACGATAAAGAGTGACACGAGCATCCGGAATTCGGACAAGTTAGTTGTCTTGCTTAATTGACGTCATGATCATCCGTAGCATTATCTGGTCAATTAATCGGCCATTGTATATTCTGGATATGAACTTCTCGAACTGAAGAACAAACTAATAAAGCATGAAACAAGCAAATAATACTTTTACACAATCACATATCCATAGATTTATTGGTGGAAGGGAAGTTTTCCTAAAATTAATTTTGTTGGATGTCTTTTACTACAGGAAGAAGCTGTTGGCTCGTTTACCTCCCATTGGCGGTATCACCAATAAAACGATGGCTTCTTTAATGCATGTGAAATGCTGCAAAGGAGAAGATGTGAATATTTACACATTCGAGAGGGAACCTTTGTTGTTTACTGTAATGGGAGGCGAAGCACTTTATCCTACAGGTTCGCAAAGTTGTCCGAAAAGATTGGTGTGGAATGCTCATAGTATTCTTGTGTCACTAAAATGGCTCAAGTCTAGAGCGTCTGATGCAAAAAAAAAACCTTTTTTGAATGAACTCTAAATAATAATCTGAATAGCTAATTTACTATTTGCTTTTTTCAGTTTACCTGACATGGAAAATACCTGAAGCGTTCCCTGTACTTGTTGTCAGTGAGTTTGTATATCAAAAGCTGTTGCATGGAGCTGATTTATTCCTTCAAGGTGAGTAATTTTCTGAGAGTTTTGGCGTTTTTTTTTTCGGGAGTCGTTTTTAATTTTATTTTGTTTCAGGTGTAATTGGTCCATTACGGCAAACTTTGGAGTTTGGTAGTCATGCAGCAGTAGCTATATCTGTCTTATCGTCGTCAAACCAGCTTCGAGGTTGATCATTTTTCCATGGCTTTATTTACTTTGGTATGCATCTATCCTATGCAATATATGCAATTTCCAATGCCATTTTCCCTTAAATGTTTTGCTGATTACTTCTTCTGTTGTTTTGGATATATAAATCAATTTCTTAAACTTGATTTACATTTCTTTTTTTTTGATATTTGTATCAATACTTTTCAGAGTAGTTGACCAACAAGAAAATAAACAAAATTTGTGCTTAAATTAATGGGTCATAGATATTGTATGACTTCAAAATCCTGAGTTTTGATTTCTTCTTCAATTATTTATGGTTTTGTGTTTTCGTAAGTCAGCAATGATACATCTGCCTGTTTAAGGTCCTGTAGCTGTAGGGTATTCATTGATGTCATCGATGGAAATGATTGCGAATGGTATGCAAGGGCCAGGTGTTCGTTTATTGCACTTTTACGGCGACTTGCTTTGGTTAGATTTTTAACATTTTTTTATGCAG